CTCAAGCAAACAGTTTGCTTTGCAAGTTTGGTGCATGTAAAGATGGCTTAAACGTGGCTTTATTCAGAACACACGACACTCCACTCTATACCGCCCACTTGTGGTTAAATTACAGACAAGTAAGCCTGCGTAAACTCCAGCTAGCTTACAATAATGCACTGAGAATGTGCTGCAGGTGTTAATACACTGCAAATCCATCCATCCATTTTCTAATCCACGAATCCTCACGAGGGTCGCTGGCATGCTGGAACTTCTCCCATGTTTCTTCGGGTATACCCTGAACTGGTCGCCCACCAATCGCAGGGCAACTCCAAGTCATGTTGAAAAAATTAATTTATAAATGTATATAATCGGCTTAACAACTCTTGAGAATTACATAATCATGACATTGACATGCATCAAATTGAGCACTTCATGCTGTTTGTCCAAGAAGCATTGGTTTCGTACTCTCCTCTGAGGTCACTGATTATTTGTTTTATGAATATGTTGCTGATGGTACTTTTATGTGTCTTTTTGTATGTAGTGTATTGTTTTACCTGGAATCTGAAATCAAGTTTTCAAAGTTTCCAAAAGAACTATCAAGAAAATACCATTAAAAATAACTGAGTAAAACTCATTTTCAAGAAATGTACACTGTTGTGCATTGTAATGTAGTGTAAGGTGCAATATAAGTGTAGCGAACTAATATTTTCTTGGAGTGCAGCATCACAAGTGATCCGTTTTAGGACTACTTAATCTTTTTAGCTGGCTCATTATGTCATGGGACATTTTTGACTTGCCTGTGGAGTGCAACGCTGAGAGGGTCAGAGCAAGCAAGTCCTTTACTTCAACATCAGGTGTCCATCCAAAAGGTGTTTGATTGTCTTAGTGTACACAATACTAATCTTATTGCAAGAATTGCACTGAGGCGACTGCTCATTTATTTGAACAAAGTTAAGGCAAAGCCACTTTCATTCAGTGTATGAATGCCGCACGGACGTGCACTTCTTCAATCGTTTGTGAACAGAAATGGTTCTTGTGCACTGAAAATATACTCTTTTGCTCCAAACGTCCTCTTAGGTGCTTGTAATTATGGCACAAATCTATCATCACAATGTAGCCGGAATGGGGTTTGCTTCATGATGTTTTTTTTTTTAACCCTTTCAGGGACAGCGGTTAAGACAGTGGACAGCTTATCATGTTAGCAGGTTACAGGGTGCATGAAAGGGTTAATTGAGATCATATTGAATGCAATTACTATTGACATATCAAAATCAGAAACATTTACAACAATATGTTCTTCCATTCATCCATTTTATCGATCACTTCATTAGGATCATGTGTGACTATGAGCTGAGCCTAACCCAGCTGACTGAAGGCAAGTGGCGGGATTCCGCCTGGACAAGTCGCCATCATCAATCACACAGAGAGAGACAAACAACCATTCACGCTCACAATTTTTGAATCCTCAGTGAAATGTGAGACAGAAAACCCCACAAAAGCATGGGGAGAACATGCAAATTCAGACAAGACGGCCAGGGCCAAAATTCAAACCCAAACCTTACTAATGTGAGGCAGATGTGTGGTTTTAATTATTTATTGTTGTTATTATTTATGATTTGTTTTATTGTTTATTGTTGTGTCTATGATATTTGCTCAATGTACAGCACTTTGTATACAGCGGTGGTTATTTTAAAGTGCTGTATAAATACAGTTGAGTTCAGTGGTTCAACAAATAAACAAATTAGAATTTTATCACACCACCACACAAACTTACATGTTAGTACTCTCTGAAACAACTATTTATAACGCCATACTGTACCACTAGCATACTGTATGATGTGCCCATGTCCGTATTAGAAAGTTCATCACTCTGACGTAAATTTGGGTTTTAACTGAATGACGATGTAACTGGTCCGACAGGTGATGTTTTGACTTCGACGATGTGATCTGTTTATCCATCCAAAACCGGAGCCGGAATCGAACATAGCACCTCTGCATTGTGAGGCAGAGGTTTTAATCAGTTGGGCACTGTGCTGCCCTGGGATCAGTTTATGATTTAAAAAAAAAAAATCAAACACCAGCATAAAATGATGTCAACATTAGTTCCCGCCTGCAAAGCCATTGTGAACAAGATGCTCGGACCCGTAGCGGCGAAAAGAAATAGCCCAAGTTCCTCTTTCAGATAACACAATTTCCAGACACATTGGTGATATGTCTGCAGACATCGAAAGTGTGATTTTGGAAAAGATCCGTATCAGTAATAAATTTGCGTTGCAAGTTGATGAAGCTACTGAAATAAGTGGGCATGCTCAACACAATTAGAGGAAACTTTCTAGTTTGCAAGGCTTTGCCAGAAAAAAACAACAGGAGAGGAAATTTTTCGTGTCACATCAGAATATCTGGAAAAAGGAGGACTTAAGTGGGAAAACTGCACAAGTGTCTGTACTGATGGAGCTGCAGCCATGGTCGGGCGCACCAAAGGCTTTGTAAGCAGAGTGAAAGCAAAAAACTCAGATGTGATCATGACGCACTGTTTTTTACACCGCGAAGCCCTCGTAGCCAAGACTTTACCAGCAGACTTTGTTCCTGTGTTGGATGATGTGCGCATGGTAAACTTTGTGAAGTCACCACCGGTGAAAAGTCACACATTTGAGGTTTTGTGTGAAGAAATGGGAGCGGAGCATCAAGCCTTGCTGTTTCATACGGAGGTCCGGTGGTTGTCACGTGGCAAGGTGCTGGTGGGTGTGTATGCAAGGCTGGCATACCTGGCAGATATTTCTCATCATCTGAATGAACTGAACACACGAATGCAAGGCCGCAATGGAAACTTGCTTACAAGTACAGATAAAATTAATGGATTCCGTTCAAAGGTGCAACTCTGGCAGCAAAATGTGGAAAGTGGCAATCTCGAAATGTTCCCACTCGCCAATAATTGGCAAGATGTTAATACTGCTGCCCTGTGTGAGATAATAGCTAAACATTTGAAAACTCTTCAGGAGAAGATGTCATTTTATTTCTCTTCAACCTCCACTGAGTGCCTCAACCCGGTTAGGGACCCATTCAGCTCAGCATCAGCTGTTGGAAAGGACATGACTTTAAAAGAGCAGGAGGAACTAACTGAACTGAGACAAGATCATGGTCTCAAACTAAGCTTTGCTGATCTACCTTTGGACAGTTTTTGGGTGGCAGCTGCCAAGGAGTTCCCCATGATGGCCAACAAACCTATTCCATTATCCACAACATACCTATGTGAGGTGAGCTTTTCAAGCCTGACTGCTATAAAAACGAAAAACAGAGAAAGACTGAGAGCTGTGGAGGAAGAGCGTGTCTTTCATCAATTCCTGCCAGGATATCAGTTTTGTGTTCATCCAAACAGGCCCATTTATCACACTGAGTGACAATAAATATGAAAGATTATAAAATACTTTTTTCTTTGTGTTGATTTGATTCCAATTCAAGCTGTTATAATGTCCTTCTTCAATGTTAAAAAATGGTGATCGTAACAATATAACACATTAATTGTTAAAATAAGCTTTTTTTCACATTTTCAGCTAGTGGTGTGCCGCAAGATTTTTTTTTCAATGAAAGAAGTGTGCCTTCGCTCAAAAAAGTTTGAAAAACCCTGCTCTACAGCATGTTCTAGTCTCCACCGAGTGGATCATGTTCAGAAGACCTATCCAGGGAGGCATCCTAACAAGATGCCCAAGACACCTCATCTAGCTCCTCCCGATGCGGAGCAAAACAAGTTCAACTCTGGGCCACTAACTAACTAACTAACTAACTAACTGACTAAGCTGTCAAAGGCAGAGGCCAGACACGTGCATAGGAAATACTGTATCCATAAGGACTGATAGGTAACTAAGAAGTAAAAAACTTTCATTGGGTATTTTTTAAACTGAGATATGCATTAAAAATACATACATACTGCATTAAAAATACATACATACATACATACATGCATACATACATACATACATACATACATACATACATACTGTAATGCCCTTCAATGCGGAAAGAAGGATGCACGCAGTCGCTGATGCAATCTGTCGTTTTTTTAATAAACAAAAGGAGCAATAAACAAATATTCATAGAGTTGCTGTTAGCCACAACTCACGCCCATGCACTCCACACTCAGGCAACTAACTGCCAGAGCCAATATTCCCCCAACCTGGTTCCTCCCCTCTCCATGACGTCACACAAATACAAGAAACAGATATTACAAACTAAAAACCAATTACAGACATTTGAACTGGTAACAATCCTCATAAAAGAGTGGATTTGGGGTTGATCACGTTCGGAGTTAACAACAGATTAAAACGGATTAAAATGCATTTGTTTCAACCATTGAGGGATTGAGAGTTTCCATTAATGTTTTATTTTCATCCCAAAAATGCTAAATGACTAGAATAAATCATTGAACAATTTTTTTATAGTAATGTCAATAGAAGCTCCAGAATTTGAAGCTGGGTCTTCTTTCCGGATCCCAACAGTCACATTGGTAAGGCTTAACTTGAACGACTTCACCACGAAATCAGTGTGGATTAGTTACTACTGCTTAACTTGTCAGCGAAGGCTTCCTGGCAGGAGATTTATCATGTGTCTCAACAAATCCCAACAACAGAAGGACTATTGAAAGAGCGGATAGTAGTCCAAATAGAATCTTCCAGTCTTTCGATGTTCACACTTCGAAGAGCAATTTTACTCCACACACGATATACCCGGACATCGTCAGGCAACCGAAGCCAAATCGACGAAAGGCGTATATTTCACTGATGAGACACCAAACTGGGTTACAGCCAAATATAACTGATGTAAAAAAAAATGTTAGATATTTGCATGAGTTAGGACCCAAATATCTTTATTTAAATTCAGTTAAATGTGATTTGAGTCTGCATGCGTGTAAATATTGCCCGCATGCAGACTCCACTTGAGTGAGAACATTTCTAACCCGATTTTAGCTGCAACAAAGCGTTGGTGAGCGACAAGTGCTCGAATGATTAAAGACTGTTGCCTACCTTGCCCCATCAACAGGATGGCCATCCCGACCAGCATAGCCCAGTATATTGGTTGTGTCATCATTATTGATGTCCTTGTTTTCTATGTGACGTTTACAAATCCTGATATGTGTTTTTTTTCCACGCGCCCTTCTGTTTCAGGCTTGATAATCCATGGACTCACACGACGCTCAAAGTCTCCTTCAACTATGAGGTTATTGGTATACTGTGCTGCAAATTTTATCGCTCACCCAAATACTTCTGGTCTATTCTTTTCAAAGTAAAACGCACTCAGTTGGATGCGACTAAAAATCTTTTACTTCCTCTGCACTTCCTAGATGTGCAATGGTAGAATGATGTAAGTACGACTATTCCCTGAACAGCACTGTGGAGTGATTTCAGACGTTTCACTGAACACATTTGTCACAATATTTATTTTGTATTGAAGTGAAATCAATATTTTTCAAATAGTTTTTTTTGAATTGTATCGTAGATACAATTGATGTCGATATACATTGCGTTGTAACTTGCGGTGGTCGAGTGGTTCGCGCGTCGACCTCACGGTGCAGAGGTACCGCCTTCGATACCAGCTCCGGCTTTCCTGTGTGGAGCTTGCATGTTCTCCCCGTACCTGTGTGGGTTTTTTTCCGGGTACAGTACTCCGGTTTCCTAGCACCAAGGCTGATTGAACATACTAAATTGTCCCTAGATGTGAGTGTGAGCGTGGATGTTAGTTCATTTCTGCGTGCCCTGCGATTGGTTGGCAACCGGTTCAGGGTGTCCCCCGCCTACTGCCCGAAGACAGCTGGGATAGGCTCCAGCATGCCCTGCGACCCTTGTGAGGATAAAGTGGATCAGAAAATGGATGGATGTAAATTGTTACGATTAGGAAATAAAACTGTTGAACAAAATTAAACGCAGTACCTGTAGTGTGAAAATTCCACACATTTTATCACATTTAGACAGTTGGCATCATTTTTTCTACATTTTTAAAATGTGCTGAGCACCACTAACCCATAGCCATACGTTGTTGGCACTCCCAAATCAGTCGGCAAAATACCCTTCACCAAGCAGTAAATAAGAATCTTGGGTGACACAAGGGGCGGCACGGTGAGGACTGTTTAGCACGTCTGCCTCACAGTGCAGACGTGCAAGGTTCGATTCCAATGACCAAGTTACTGCAGCAATGGTGAGAAGCTCAAAGTTTATGCTGCCTATGTGAAATGTGTTTGTTTTGAAAAATGCAGAAGTTTATTGAAGCATGGCATTGATTGTGTCATTGTTTTAAAAGGGTGTATTATAATCGCATTTTAAAGCGAAGAAGAGCCACACATAAGGTGGAAACAACGGTGTACAGTGAACGTGGCGAATAGAATGTAATGTTTTGTGTGTTCCAAAATAAATTCGAAACGAAATTAAATATGTAGCGACAGATTGATCAAAGCAAGTCTTTCTACACCACGCTACAGAAACAAATTTTCCACGGTTTTTCTTCCAGGGCCTCCAGCAGCCACAGCAACAAGCACCGCCTTGACAGAGGACTGGCAGGAGCCAAAGGGAAAGGGGGTTTCCCAAACACCACCACCTAGCTGGATATCGAA